TCGTTTTCCCCTGCGGGGCTGGCCCTCGCCGCTGCCGCCGACATCCCCCCCCCCCCCCCGGCAGCAAGCCCCAGCGGACGGCGCAGTGGAGAAAGCGAGGCGCGGGGTCTAGGTGGCGATTTGGCTGATGGGGGCGAAGGCGAAGATGAAAAAGGAGCGGATGCCAGAGGTGAGGGTTGCGGAGATGGCGGTGGGGGCTGGGGGGAGGTGAGCCTTGGGTGAGTGAGTAGGTGAGTGAGTGAGTGGTTTGGGTTTGATGTGCGAGGGAAGGTGTTGTGTGTGTGTGTGTGTGTGTGTGTGTGTGTGTGTGTGTGTGTGTGTGTGTGTGTGTGTGTGTGTGCAAAAAATAACTAGGAGAGGAAGCTCTATCTATGCATGAAGAGGACAAAAGGAAAAAGGTCCATAGTACTTTCGTTTCGTACAGGTAACGGCAATAGGATTACGAGAAAGGAAAAAAGCCCAGGCTTTCACACCTGCTGCCTGCTTCGTCTCCTCGCTTCCTACCCCTCTGCTCCAGAAAACTGCGAACGCATGAGTCCAAGCTCATGTTCCATCCCTCCCAATACTCCCTCGGCCGTATGATGAAATGACAATAACAAGAGTATCCATAAGTCGTGAGAGAAAAAAGTCTGACAACCCCAAACAATCAATCAATCCGAGAGCGGAAAACAACCCGTTTCAGTCATGTGGAGCCATGACTTGTTTTGAGTTCCAACGCCAGTGCAATGAATCAAGAAGACATGTTACTGTCCCTCTTCACAAGGTCGTGTCGTGTGGTGCAGAAATGAACAAGCAAAAGGAAAGGACGCTTCCGTAGGCCAAGACCATCCTCGGACGAGGCTTGCATCGTAACAGGCTCGAAGAAAAGGAAAAAGGCGATGTGATGACAATGATGACGACGGTAATGACGATCGTGATGCGACAACAATGATGTTGATGAACCGAAACCCCATTTGATCCAGTGTCGTGGACCCATGTTCCATGATTGAATACCCTGCTGCTGCCGTGGCCAGAACACCGCTTGCCAACGCCGGTGCAAATGCTAATAGATGCTGGTCGTGTTTCGCAATCCGAAGGCCGTTAGGGTGTGCGCGGGCGTGGGAGGCCGTCAAGGCCCATCCCGATGCCCGCGAGGAGAGCAGCGTAGCCGGTTGGAAATTATGCAAGGTTGAGATGCCCGAGTCATGTCGTAAATGTAAGTAATGGCGAGTGAGTCGCCCGGCGCCTTGTGTCCGGTCTTATCCGGAAACGCACTGCGGGGTTATGCTGGGCCCAGATAGACTTCGAGCGCGTGGGGCACCGGACCCTGGCTCCCGGCGAGATAGACGAAGCCGATGAGGGTCCGACCGACTCCATCGTCTGAGGGAAGGCCCGCGAATAAAAAAGGGCCTGGAACGAAGACCGTGAAGGATGCGAATGGGAGTCCGTCACTCCTTCGGCCTGCCTTCTCAGAACATTCCCCCCTCCATCTGCTGCTGATGCTGCGCGTGCTCTTCCCGAATCTGCCCGCTGCTCCTCTTTTTCCACCCCAGCTTGCTGCTCATCCTCTTCCACCCACTGCCCTCACGCTCGTGTCGGCTGTTCCTCGGGCTCGGAGTACCGTTAGCGCTTGGCGGGTAACCGTAGTCGCTCATGGGTGGCGTCGTTGGTGGAGTCATAGGATCGCCGAGGGCGCTAGGGCTGCTAGCGCTACCCGAGTCATCCGTAAGGCCATCGCGGTCCGATGGCGATTGAGCAAGGGACGAGGCCACCGAGTGCGGGTGACGGTGGTGCGAGGAGCTGGCGAAACGGGCGTGCGCCGCGGCGCCGAAGTTACGCGTCACCGTGGTGAAGCTGGTCGTCAGGGATGAGGGAGCCGACGCGCGGTGCTTGTGCGGGACGTCGGCATTGGCCTGGGTGACCTCACGGCGGAGGGTACGCTCGTCGTAGGACCGCGTGTGAGAGTGCGACAGGTTTTCTTCGCTCGTGTTGTACCCGGCAGCGCTGTGGGGTGAGAGGCTGTTCAGGAACGGAACCAGGACCGACTCCTCCATCAGCTCGTAGATTTTAGCAACGGCCGTGTCTAATGTCGACGGGTGAGGGGGAGAATAAGGGTTTGATAGAGCCAAGAGGCTGTCCCGCACGTCCGACGGCAGGTTGACTTCCCTGGGGCCGTTCGGGGCGATGTAGGCGTCCAGCAAGCGCTGCCACAGCATCTTGACGTAATTGCACTCGTCGCTGTCGGGCGAGACGGGCGAATCGGGCTTCTGGCCAACCATCTTGCTGTAATGCTTCCTGTAGCGGGAGGCATCCATGGTGAACTCAAGAGTCTCCAAACAGTGGTTCTGCGAGAGATAGGCCATGAAGGCGCTCAGGGTCCATGGCGGGGAAGCGGTGTTTGCTAGGATTTCGGAGAGGTTCGGGCGCCTGGGACAGTAGGGACCTTGAGCATATCCCCTTGGTATTGCGACGGAAAGGGGCCGTGAGGCGGTTGTTGTGGTTGATACATACTCATGAGCTGACATTTTGAATCCTCCTTTTGCTTCCTTTTCGTCTTCGGAGGGGGAGGAGGAGCGGGTCGAGGAGCGGGTCGAGGGCGCGGTGAAAGAGGGGGTCTTGAGACGGAGAGTAGGCGGGCCCGATTTGCGGTGCATCACATTCCACCACGGCTCTTTACAGTTCGGATCCGGGCTGCACGAAGTACCCGGGGAGTCGAGGGTAGTAGTAGAGCCGGTGCCGGGACAGACGACGCAGGATTGGGCGGACCGCACGGAGCGGAGTCGGGACGCCAGCTTGAGGGACGGTGGGGGCGTGCTGCCGGTTCGAGGTGCTGCTGTTATTGCGATGGTCGACTGCGCGCCGGAAACATGGACGACGGCTGCGGTGGTCGTTGGCGGGAGAAAGCTGCGTCGTACACGGGACGGGTGCTGGGTGCTTGGTGCTCGGTGCTGGGTGCTTGGTGCTCGGTGCTTGGTGCTTGGTGCTCGGTGCTTGGTGCTTGGTGCTTGTGCTCGCTGTGTCGCGCGGGGGCTTCTGGAACGGGGACACAAGAGGTATGCGACACGGAGGAGAGATGAGTGGTAGCAGATGGAGAAGGTGAACGGTGGAATTGAGCGAGGTGACTAATGGCGCTGGTAGCGCAGCGCGGTCGGCTAGAAGGTTGGTGGTAGCGTCGCCTCAGGCGTGTCGACGGAGCGGGTAGCGCTGTCGCAAGAGTCGGCCTGAAACGAGCGGCAGCGGATTGGGGGTTCGCTGGAGAGGGAGTGGCAGGGGGGTGGGCCGCTGACGGAGGCGGGAGGAGTGGAGAGGGCAGCTGCGGTGCGGCAAGGAGCAATGCGTCTGGCACGCGGGCGGTCTGGTGCGGTGCACTTGCTTGGGAAGCGGAGGACAAGGGACGCGGCGAGCGGTGCCGGGGCGGAGGTTTAGTAGCAGCGCGCGAGACAGGCGTGGAGAGACAGGCGGCGCTGGAAGGGACCGGGCAGCAATCTCAGATGCACACGGTGCGCGGAGAGGTATGATCTGGATAGTGAAGCGGAGTGGCATCAGCGTCCGCCCTAAGAGCCGACAGGCGCCCTTCTCGAAAAGGCGCTAGGCGGGCGCCGGCCAATGGCAATCCCTGCGCGCATGCAGCACGCCCCCGCTGATGAGCACACAAAGAACAGAGAAGGCCGCGTCGAAGCGCGCCCGAGCAGGCAGGAGGCTGTGGGACGGCAGCAGCGCGGCGGGCTAGTGCTGCAATACGGCATCGCCACCAGGGCCAGAGCAGCACGCGCGTCTGCCGGGCGCTCGTGGCTCTTCAAGCACCACGCTCGCTGCTGCACAGCTGCACCCAGCGGCTGCATCTCACAGCCAGCGCCGATCATCGCGCCCCCGGCGTGGCAGCGGCCAGCCCGGACGCTGCAGCAGGTGCAACGCGACCGCAACCAGCCGCGCACGGCCAGCGCGCCCAGCACGGCCAGCACGGTACAAGCAGCTCTTTGTGGCAGATGATGCCATCGCCGCTGATAGGGCGGCCGGCGCTGACTCCTGCCTAGCTCCGTGGCTCTGCCTCCAGCGCCCGGGCCACACGCCCGCCCACCGCGTCCTTTGTTGCCTTTGCCACGAGCCACACGGCCGGGCCTCTCCAACGCTGCACCGGCGCCAACGGGCCTGCCCTCGCCGCGAGAAAGGAGAAGGGGCGCGGCTCCACTCGTCCCCTGGTCAGACATGCGGCTCGTAACCACCAGCAAGCCAGCAGCGCTGCAGCACCGCCGCCCAGCGCCAGGGTCCCGCTGCCTGTCTGCCCAAAGCCGCAGTGGTGGAGCCGTGGCCAAGCCGCCCGCAGCGCCCGCAGCACCCCCCAGCACGCCGACGCGCGAAGCTCACCACCTCTTGCGCGACCGCACCCGTTTTCCGCCGACCCTTCTCGAAGCCTTCCGCTTCGGGCCCTGCTGCAGCCCAGCTGCACGCCAGGGCAGATCATGACACTATCGTATGACGGCCGCCCGCCCGCCGAACGCCTGGCTGCTGATGCGCCGCCTGCCACGCTTGAAGTTTGCTAATAATGCCACGGCCGTTGCTATGCCACCGCGGACGGACATCCACCCGAGAAGCGAGGCGACGAGCCTCCACCGTGACGTCTGTCGACAAGCACCGGCCTGCGCAATTTTTGGACCATGGAAGCCGGATGCGGCCCCAGACGCGGCGGTGCCGGGTGCCTCGCGGTGCCTGAGCAGCCATGTTTGGCCCCCCTCCCCGTGTTGCTCCGCCTTGCGGTGAGTCCCGAGTCCCTACCTACGTAGGTACTGTTCCAGCCGCGTCGTGCTGAAAGAAACCACCGCGACTCCTTGGTACAGCCGTGTGTCTGTCTGCTCTGACCGGCGCCGCCCTGACGCTCGCCTGCGACCATCTCCACCGGCCCGGGCCTAGGCATTCGCCCACGGCAAACAGTTTAATTACACGCCTACTACTGACCTATCCGCCGACTGATGCTACTCCGCCCCCCCAGCAAGCCGGCCGCCGCCTCTCTCTGCGGGTGCAGGCCTCGCTCCTGTAGCGAGCCGAGCGCTGCCACACGCAAGTCACATTCACCTCTTTTCTGACCACCGGGATGCCCGCACGCCCGCGCGTGTGCCCGAGTGGGTCTCCAGAGCTGCAATGCTCAGGTCCCAGCCCGCCGCCTCCAGCCGCGTTTTTGCTGTGCCGCTGCCACCGCCAAACATGTGTCGTGTTTGCTCTAGCGTCAGCCGCAGCTCCGACTCAACCTCAGCATTGACGCGGCTGCCGTCGGCCGCACTGGGCCCGGGCTCGGCTCGCTGTTCTTGTCTCAGGTCCAGCCGGGACGCCGCTGACTGTGGCCCCAACGTCTGAGTCGTCGTCGCCGTCGCCGTCGCCTCTCGGCGCCCCCCGGCTCCGGCTTCGAGGCGGGATGCCAGCAGCAGCGCCTGCGTCCAGGCCTGAAGTTGCGCCGCCGGCTCGCAGTGCTGCTTGAGTACGATGAGCGCCTCGGACCTGGCCGAGTCGAACCAGAGGAGGTACGACTCGTGCTCGAAAACCTTAAGCAGCGCCGCAAGCGACGTCGTCTTGGCCGACGCACTGCTGTCGCGCACACCCGCCCCGGTTTTCCATGCTGCCCCTGGGGCCCCGGCCTCTGCGCCTGGAAGCCTTGCCACGACTTCCGCCAGACGAACCCCAATCCTGCAACGTCCGATGACCTGATCGTCCGCCCAGCGCAGCGCGCCGTCCCGAAACTCGAAGATCCGTTCCCTTTGCGAGACCCGCTGCGGTGAGAGCACCTTGTCGTACGCCAAGAGGTGTGCCATGACGATGTTCGCTCGCTGCCGGTTCAGCGAGCGCATGCTGACCGCTCGGACGGCGGCGTAGTTGGTAGCCAGGTGGGTTGTCAGCAGCAACAGCATCGCTGTCCATGTCGCTAGCGGGGATGAGATCCATGACACCACAACGCTGCCAGCCTTATGAGTATCACTAAGACGTCAGCACTTGCGCTTCTCGAAGCTCCGTGTTTCCGCACCCGCCTCAGCTGACTTGCAGGGGTTGGACGCCATAAAGTGTGAAGGAATCGCACGCGATGGTGAATAGTACGTAGTATGCAACAGCAAGCGAGGTGCCATGCTAGTCAACCGGCCTCCCGGTAGGGAGCGTCGGAGACATGAGTCGTCCATCGGCACCAACGCAGTAGCCGGCGATCTTATTGTCTCTCGCGGCTGAAGGGGGGCGCAGTGGATGTTGGCTCGACTGTGTAGGCAGCAGCAGCACTCACCAGCATTCCCAGGAGGGATATGATTGTCTCCTGCGAGGAATCTTTCTAAACGGCAGATCGTCAGTGAACCGGTCAGACCTAGTTCGGAGAGAAGCGGATCAACAGTGGGAAATGTAAAACGGATCCAGACGGAAGCTAATAGCTCTCTCCGGATGCGTTTCAGTACTTTGGATTGAGAACAGAACTGCCGATCCCGGTTCCAGAGTCCGACGAACGCTCCGTGCGAGTGCACTGTGGTTGCAGCAAAATTAAACCCTCCCACGTGGGCAGTTGAAGCAAATGTCCGGACATAGGTGTGGGGTTTGTGAGTCCTTCTACATTGGCAATCAAAGTAGATGTCTAGGCGTAACCGTGAGTTCTGTTAACCCTCTACACGGGTAGTCGAAGCAGATATCCGGACGCAGATGTGAGTTCTCCGACCGAGTGTATACATCTGGGTGCAGGCTACGACTACCCGCGTAGGAGGGCTTGTTGAACTTACAACTACATCTGGATACTTGCTTCTGCTGCCTACGTAGGTGGGCTTAATTTTTCTGGCCCCTGCAGAGGTTGCGGTTTGGGACCTCAGAGTGTGACCGAGTAAAAGAGAAGATGGCTCACCGCATTCAATTCTCCGAGGTTTTGCATACGGGCGAAATGAGCACTCAAGCTCGCCTTGCTGGACCCTGCAGCAACGCCGCATAGAGCGCGGAGGATGCTGCTGAAACTGAGGATCAGTACGCGCGGTAGGCGTGGCAAGGCCGGCGACACGCAATCAAGGATCATGGCGGCATCGTTGAAGAAATCAGCAGCCAGTCTCCAGGCCTTACATTCAGGCTCCAGACTGGTTCCGAGCCTTGCCGCGAAAAGGATTGTTGCGATGCGGCCAGTCGATTCCTGGAGCACAGACAAGAGCAGAGCCGCAGTAGGCGACGCGTTGGCATCACCGACGCCGACACCTGCGTCAGTACAGCGTTAGTTAGTGGGCACGTGGCTCGGAAGGCGACGGAAGGAATGCAGAGCGGGGGCTGCGGGGTCACGCCAAGGTGAGGCGACGATGAGGGTGTGGTTGGCAGAATGAGGCTACTCAAGGCGCGGATCGCCGCGGTCTGGCTACCTGAGGGATCGCGATCCGTGATCGCCGACGTTGCATATGTGGGGAAGGAAAAATGCAGCGGCGCTGGTGATCTACCTACCTTCGAGAACGGCCCGAGAAGAGAGCAGGCCGGCAATGGAGCTGGAAAAGGCTTGAAGAGAGTCCTGTGCGTGGATGACGTCTATTCAGCAAATTGCGGACCGAATTACACGACGTCGTCCAAATGAATGACGCACGGAGGGGAGATAGGCTGCGTACATAGATTTGGTACCTGGTTGGGCATGAACGGTCGTCAGCGAGCCAGTAGTGGGGTGGTTACTCGATCGGGTAATGGGACAGGTGTTGTCACGAACGGCAGGTAGTCTTCCGTCACGCTCTGAGGGTAGCCGGCGGGTAAGAAGACGTCAAGCAGCCTGAGCAGAGGAGATTTTCGCTGCTCGGGTGGCTGTCGAAGAGCAGTTAGCTCGGCGAGAAACCGGATCGTGATGCTCTTGCGGTGAGCGCGAATTGCTCGCTGCCCTACTTACGATAACGTCAATGCGTGGGCCGGTCTCGATGTAGGTTGCCGTGACGTTTCCAGCCTCATCATATTCCGCGAGTTCGAGCTGAGGGGGGCCTGTTTCCATGTTGTGTGGTCACCGTGGCTGCTGTGGTCAAGCGAGGTGTTGGTGTTGGTAGGTGGGGGGGTACCTAGTGTTGAGTGGAGCGACAAGTCGACCCGGACCGCCGGATTCATGAACACGCCAAACACGAGCTTACTTCTTCCTCTTACAACCCAAGATGCCAGCGTGACTCGCTTGCGCACCGCTCAACAGCGTCTTCTTTTTTTTTTTTCCTCCCCAATTGCCGCCTGATATCCTTTCTTGCTTCTTTGGCACAGCCCAATCCAGAACGTTAGATCGACTTCGCTCGACATACAAATTTGCCTGTGTTTAACTCGATCGACAGCCCTGAACAACAATGAGCAGGCACGCGAGATTGCGCCGTCCAGCGTCCCACCGCGGTAGGACTGCTGACGTACGATGCAACGGTAATAAGTAGGTATGTGGAGTCACGGCGCGACTGCGACAGGTGGGGAAAGGAGCAAGCCGAGAACGTTGGCTACCCCACACCAATTTCTCTATCAATGCCGCTGCCTCTTCTGCGCTGCGTCATTTACTGCTCTGTGCGATGGAGCTGCCGATCCGGCGAGCTCATTTCCGTTCCAATGGCCGTCTTCCAGCTCTCCTTCGCACGACCTTTTATCGGCTCCTCGGCGCGAGAAAGTTGTCTCAACCTTCTAAATTGTCAAGTAGCAACCAAAGACTCTCTTCTAGCAACTGCTCAATCGGCTGGAGGGGTATAGAATGTTTGAGATGCCGAACAACTCTCTACGGTCTCCGTACGTGCTTGCCCATTTCTATCCTCCTCTCTTCAACCCATTCAAATACTGTGCACAATGCACTTTTCTCTTCCACGTCCACCTCACGACACCGTTATCCAGGCTTCTCTGGGTCCTGGACTTCCAGACTGCCGAGGAGAGCAGTGTTAGGACCTGGGCGAGAGTTAGCTAAGAAAGCCGCAGGAGATGGAGTCAATCATACCTTGCGGACCGACGCTGTCGCACAAGCAATAAGCAATCTGGCCCTTTCCGTTGCTTTGATACATGTCTTTTGCGCTCACGCCAAGCTCTTCCGAATCGTGAATGCGGCTCATGGTGTCGCAGCGATACAGCCAGGCATCAGGTGGAGCTGACCAACCACAGGCCTCGAGAATGCCTTTCAGCTTGTTCTTCAAGAAAGGCTCGTCGAGATGTGTAGCCGAGGCCTCGGAGCTGTGTTCGAGCGTAGCTGGAGGAATGCAGTCGACGAACTTGAGAACAGTGACAGGCTGCGCCGTTTGATAGTCGAAGAGAAATACATCGGCTGAAGCTATTGCCGGCTTCACCTCCGCGGCGTCTGTGATTGGCTGAAGTGGATGGAGGATCGAGTTTGAGCGTGCCTGGCGAGCATGAACAAGCTGCTCCTCCAGAGCTGTTGTTTGCTGCAGAGAAGCCGTCTTGAGTCTTCTGAACTCCGTCTCCAGACTCTCGGTCCGATCCAGGAGGGCGATGAGCTTGGCGTCCCGATATCTGCCCATGATCTCGGCCTCCTCCAGCTTCTTTTCCAAGAGTTGGAGCCTCGACTCCATCTCCTGCTGGTGGCGGTTGCCGAAAATGTAGCTGTACAGGCGACTCATGGCGAAGCTCTGGCGGCAACGATGGCGAAAGATGGCGTCAGGCTCTGCTAGATAAGAGCAGATACTGCTGGCGCAGAGCAAACGGGCCGAGCGGTGTGAGATGGGCTGCACCTGGAGTCTGTGGGGGGTCTCTGGCGGACACAAAACGCTGCGGCAGTCACCCTGATTACAAGGTGGAATGCGCGGAGGCCTGGCGACAGAGAGGACGGAGCATCGCGGAACGAGAGCAGATGGATTATCGGCGAACAGGCTTGTGAAATCACGTGTGTGACGTGGCTGTCGATTGTGGACGATGGAGTTTCGCGCTGATACATGTGCTTTTGCCAGCGCGGTATCCACCACTCACCTCTGCCATGCACAATCAGGCACCAGGGCAGCGGCTCGGCAAAGGCTACCGCGCCGCCAGCCCGTCAGACGCGCCAGGAACCGCGCATTCTCAGCTCTGGGCCCTGATTGCCTCGCCATGCCGCCGGTATCTGACGCGCCTGATAAAGAAGCACGAAGCCGCGCGAGCACGAGCACAGAGGCGAGCAGATACGAGCAGCGGACCGCGCCGCGGGAACGGGCGGAGCGGCACCGCTAACTCGTGTCGACGTGCAGGGGGAGTGGCCTGGCAGCTGAGGTGTTTGCGGGCGGCGCGCCAGCCATTCGACGTTGGCGGGAGGAGTGTCGTGGTCTCGTGGAGCCTTCTGCTTTGTGCCTCCCCTCGGCCCCTTGCCGCCAGTAACGGATCGCCGACCGGCCTCGCGCCTAGCCCGGTACCTGCAGCACACCTCACCCACTCCGCCATGCTTCCCCATCATGCCCCTCGGAGAATGCCTTGACTACGCCCGCAGGCTCCGAACATGCCACCACCATGAGCGAAGATCGCCCTCCTCCCTCGGACGACGAGGTGGTCGCGCTCGTCCGCAAGACCATCGAGCAGGTCCGCGAGGACACCACCCGCCGCACCGAGCCCGACGTCGTCAAGGACCTCGCCCAGCCCGGCATCACCATTGACCTGGGCCACCATGGCATCCGCCGCTTGCCCGAGGACGTCATCGACATTATCAAGGCCGACATCGAGAGGTGCGTTGCCGCCCTGCGCCCCGCTCCAGCTGCTGCGCCAGGAGCCAGCCTCGGGAGAAGCCGACGGCTGGTGTGCACGCGACGGGAGCTTGCACTGCGGCTCTGATCGAGCCCTCAGACCGTGCTGCTGCGGACCCGTGGCGCATGCCGTCGTCTCGCCCTTCTCTCTCTGTGCCACGCCCGCGCTGCAGACCTCGTGAAGCTAACGCTGTGGCAGGCTCGCGCTTTCGCATAATTCGTTCAGCACCTTGCCCCTCCGCATGTTAGAGTGCGCCCGCTTACGATACCTGAATGTTCGCTTCAACGCCCTGCGCGAGTTTCCTCCGGCCGTATGTGGATTCAACGCTATATCAAGGGAGCACTGCTGAGAGTGGGTCTAGATTCTACAATTGCCAACCTTGGAGATCCTCGATGTCAGCAAGAACAAGATCAGGGAAATCCCGGAGGAAATAGCGAACCTCACCTCGCTGAAGGTTCTCGCCATTCAGCGGAACAGGATCGAGCGGCTTCCCGTATGCCTCGGTGATATCAGCAGCCTGCACATGCTGAAGCTTGATGGCAACCCCATTGCGTTTCCTCCGCCAGAAATATGCAGCATTAAAGATAAGACGCCGGCCCCGTCGGGCGATAACGAGCGGGACGCCCTTATCACGACTCAGGTGAAGCGGTACCTTCGCCAAGTCGCCACACGTGAACGACTCAAAGTCGAGTCCGAGGAGGACTCAGGGTATGCGTCACTTCTGTCCTCTCAGGCAATCTTGCACTAGCTTACATAGCCGTCAGTGAGAGCAATGTGGAGACGCCTCGTCCGCCCCGATCGAAAGGAGGAGGCGGTGGCGGTGGTGGACGATTCCCAGTCAAACCCAGCATCAGCAGCTTGGACTCGTTCGGAGACAAGCCCAAGTCCGACTCGCCCAACAGTACTCCAGCGCCTCCCATCCCGGCTCGCTCTCATTACCGAGTCCAGTCGCAACAGAATGCAAGCATGCGCCGTCCTGCTATCGGCCCCGTCACATCCAACGGCAACGAGCGCAACCGCAGCCATAGTGAGGGTGCTGGAGCAGGAACTATGCGCTCAAAACGGATGGGAATGGTGACGCGCAAGGCAACAACCGATCTTGCACCGGTGAACGAAGGGAAAGCCAACGGCCCGGCCCATTCTCGCGGTTTCAGCCACGGCTCAGCTCTTTCCGAGTTCCCTGGCAGTGGCTTCCCTGCCGCCTCAGCAAACGGCGATCAGGCCAGGTCCAGGCTCAATTCTATTCGTCCGCTGTCAGACCTCGTGGAACACAAACCATGGTCCAACGAGTACGACGATGCCGTCCAGGCTTGCCGCCTGTCCGCCGAATCCGCTCTGGACTTTCTCGCTCCCACCGAAAGGCTGCTGCGACGTGTCAATCTGCCAAGTCAGCATGCCCTCATGACCCAGTTTCAGAAAACACGAGCAAGCGCCTATGCTTTGTCCGAGCTGGTCAATCGCTACAACGCTTTGACGGAAGATCAAGAGGATGAGGCGGATTATTTGTTCAGCAAATTGCTGGACGAAAGCGAGGCCTGTATGGATCTCCTTATCGAGTTGGAAATTCAGATGCATGACTCGGAGGACGAAGTGGGCAGAGCAGTCAACGACACCGGCGTTCGGAGCGCTTGGCGAGCGCAGATCAATGCGCAGTACATGGGTGCGGTGGAGGCTCGCAATGCGTGCGAGGTACTCGGCGTGGAGTTTGCAGAACCTACCAAGGCCGATGCCCGCTATGCTAGGTCGTCTACTACGCCAACTCAGACAATGCCACACCCAGACCAGCGGTCACAGGCAACCCAAGGGATGGGCTTCGACCCTAACGGCAACGCGAACGGAGTTTACGGGCTTACACCGCCAATGCATCCCAACGGCCGCACCAACACGTTGACTAGCATCGCTTCGGCTGCCACTCCCCGCTCGGGCGAATCCTTCGTTACCCTGGGCTCTGTCGCCATTTCGCGCACCAGTACTATGAGAAGCGTGGAAGAGTCGGATGAAGAGCAGATCTTCGAACGCATCTGGCAGAAGCTTAGGCATGCCTGCGCATTTACCCTGCAGAATCTGCCGGTGTGCCACGAAAGATTCGAGCAAGCATGCATCGCGTCGCGGGATGACGGTGAGCGTGGCCACATGGCATACCCCAGATGGATGCGGGTTTTAGAGCGATCCACCGAAGCCCATCAAGCAGCAACGTCGCTAAACGAGGTCCTCAAGACGATCAAACTGAGGGATGCAGAGTTCCGCAACTCGCAGCGATTCTGGGAGCTCTGCACAGCATGGGTCAAAGCGTGGAGCGATCTGGCTGTGGCGGTCAAGCAACTCGGACAGATGGGTCAATTGCCCGAGGACGTCAAGCAAGTCATGAAGCCTGTCCAGAAAGCCGTCAAGGAGGCGGGAGGTGCAATCACCACCTCACCATGGAGCCACCTTGCTGTGCGCAACGACTCTTCGGCAGTGTTCCCACCCCAATCGGCCCTGTCAATGCGTTCATCCGACACTCGTCACTTGGGCCACGGCTTTAATGGCCTCAGTACATCTTCCATGCCCGGCCCGATCAACACGGCTATACCCCCCCACTCCAACTATAACCACTCCGCTACTCCCTCATCCTCCATGGGCTTTGTCACACCTGTGCCCGCTACTCCTCTAAGCGCTGCGCTTGGGGCTGCGGCACAGGCCACGGTGCCGAGTACACCTGGCCATGCACCGACTTCTACGCCCGTTGATCCCCCTATGACGGGTCGATTCGCTGGCAATGTCTTTGAAAGGGCTGACCGCCTCCTTCAGCAAACCCAGCGTCGCATCTGATCATGTTCAAGGAGCCGCTGAATGGCTATTGCGCAAATCATGCACCTCTGCTCGACCTTGTGCACTCGCACTTTCCGTTGCTTCAAGACAACGCTAAACCTGAGCGGTGGGCGCTCACTTCTCCCGCTTCTAACTATCTTCCGCGAGAAAGTTTACACAAGAAAATGATTGCTTCCTCAAATACGCATACTTTGCCACTATTTGCTGGGCGGAAGATGATGATGATGCAATGGGGCGTTTGTGGTATTTGAGCACTTCAGCTTTGCCATTTCAACATAACGTTATTGCGGGTTTTTGTTTTCCAATCTTGCATCAGCGAATGGAGTTCGTACGGAGGGAATCGTCAGCAGTGGGCGGCGTAACACACTATCCTTGTTTTTGTCCGACATATTCTTGTTCCTTGCTCTTCTGCTTTGATCTTCGGGAAGGGGCTATATATTTATTGTTTTTCTCTCTGTGTAATAAATAAGGGAGATTTGTGGGTTCGCTCTTGCTTTTTTTTTTTTTCAGCCGTGATAGAGCATCAGCGTATCGGAATTAAGATAAAGTGTATCTGGTCATCTTGTGCTCTGTATTGCCGAAAAGTAGTTCTCATTCTGCGTGTTGCAGAGGGTGTTGACGAGGAACGGTTGCAGCAGCCTTCCTGTTGTGGGTGATGTTGCACGAGCTTCATAGATTCACCTAAAGTGACAGTGACCTACAAACGTGTCGCACTTGTGTAGGTAGTCGAGATCCCCGGCAGAATGCAATATCTCTCGTGCCCGCAGCAATATGACTTGCAAAGGAAGTGAACATTCCAGTATCCAGTGCGGCATCTGGGCTCATAGCTCTCTCGAACTAGTAAAGTAGTATGACGCCGTACTATCTCTTCAGCTAGCGTGACTTACCGACGCGCTTACAGCCTACTTACGCTTCTATTAACGCGTTCCTACTGGTCTAAAGATGATTAATTGTAGATACACCACGGATGTAGATAGTAGAACACTATGTCTGGACATCTCTATACGGGTGCAAAACTCGCATTGGCGTCCGGGTGCGTCCTTCAACCACCTACGTTGCCTGAGGGGTAGACGTGTTAGTAAACGCGCCGGTGTATCGCGTCGACTGGCATGATCCAGTGTAAGCCAACGGCCTTATGTCTAGTACTTGCCCATATGTATATATCTTCCTACTACAGATTCCCACGGTTTCAACTAAGTTCGCAATCGAAGAGTCAGTGTTGGGCCGAGTCACGAAGACCCTCACCTTCAGAGCTTTCTGCATCCTGGGCGTACACGCATCCTCCCGAAGGAGATTCCACTGTCATCTTCGACGCTCCGCATGGTTGGATTTCCGTGTCTAGCGCAAGAGCAGCTCGCCGCGTTCAAGAAATTCCATCGGCGGTGATTCACGTCCACTCGAGTACGATGGGCCATCGAGGCCCTCGGCAAAGTACCTTGACAATGTCACCACCGCCTTGAGTGGACGACATTGAGATACTTGGCCTCGATGCTACCAAAGCCCAGGAGAGGAGAACCTTAAGGAAAGTGAGTCTTTCCTCACAGAACCCAGAGACAATTTGCACTATTCGGTTCTGAAGGCAGGTGCTGTTTCTTCATTCTGGTACGTTTGAGATACGGTAATGATGTTTCATAGTGGTATTCTGCCGTGAGAAATTCTAGAGATGACTCGAACAATTTTCTCTAAATTCTTACCTCCCTTTTCAGTACACTTACTTTGTAGTGGGACGGGGCGCTAATGGCTTCTTCGTGTATATATTCTTCCAAATAGGTCCTTCGGGTGAGATCCTGAGTTGATTTTTCTCGGGTACCCTTCTCGTTCGTTTGCCAAGGCATCACCTGATCCTTGACATGGTCAGATACGCAAGCAGATGGCAGGATGACCCCAGATGAGTGCGTGGCATACGTCTCGGAGTGTCTTGGAGGGAGGATTTGACGAGTAGAGTATGGGAAATAGGAAGTTGGACAATCACAAAAAGGAGTTGATCGAAGGATTCCAAACACCTCACAGCGTTTTAAAAGTAGCTCAGTCCCAAGCATGAGATCATGCCAAGTCTTGAGTAGTGTTTTGCTCGTGGAAATGTTGACGATGACGATGACGATGACGATTCTTCATTTGCTCACAACACTGGCCGTATCGATGCTTTCCGCATCGCCCCAAATCTCCTTGCTTTCCATCTCAACGCCCTTCATCGCCTTGGCCACCTCCTCCAGCTTGGCCACCACATCCAGCACCCCGGCGTTCACCCGCTGGAAGTACCGATCGTTCGCCTCCCGCCGCTTCCGCGCCAGCTGGATGTCGTTCTCCGTGTCGCGCTCCAGCTGGCTCTTCATGCTCGTCTCGGTCCCGCTCCTCGGCCTCGCGGCCGCAGCAGCCACCCCAGCAACCCCCCCAGCAACCCCACCACCCGCCGCACCACCCGCCCCCAACGCCGCGGCGACCGCAGCCGCAGGGCCCACGCTGCTGCTGGCGGCGCCGGCGCCGCCACCGCCGCCGCCACCCGCCGCCATCTTCTGCTCGCGATCCATCTGCAGGACGTTCGCGGCGCTCAGCGGCTTGACGTTGCTGCCGTTCTTCCCCCCGCCGCCGCCCACGCCGTGTCCCAGCAGCGGGTCGTTGGCGCCGCGGATGGCGTCGCTCGGCGTCGGCGTCGCCGTCGCGCGCTGCTGCTGCTGCTGCTGGCCGTCGGCCCCCGCCTCCTCGTCGGCGGCCGCCTCGGAGCGCGCCCACGCCTGCGCCAGGGCGATCTGCGCCGTGCGCAGCTCGTCCAGCGCCTGCGAGTGGCCCGGCTGGAACACGTTGGTGCCCGTCGTCGCGCTCAGCTCGACCTCCTCGAGCGTGTTTTGCATCTCCGCCCAGATGGCGTCGGTGCTGGGCTGGTCGGGCTGTTGGCCTTGGTGGTGGGCCGGGGCGTGGTGGTGCTGGTGCTGGTGGTGGTCCGCCGCGGCCGCCGTCGCCGCCGCCGCGGCGCCGATGGAAGCGTTGGTGCTGGTTTTGTGGAGGGGCGGGAATTGCAGTGGTGGGGTATCTTTCCAGGATACGCCGGGGGTTACTGCGCTGCTGCTGCCGCCGCCGCCGCCGCCGCTGGGATTGATGGGAGCGGTGCTGTTGCCGTTGCCGTCGGTGGACGCTTCGATGCGCTGAGAGCGCTGCCGCGATAGGGGATTGCCGCGTGCGCCGGCCGCCGAGGAGGGCGGGATGATGGAGGTGTCGGAGGCATTCCGCGAGGGTGGGCCGATGAAGAGAGAGGGCGCCGGGAGGCGCTGGCTGGAGTTCCGGTTGACTGACGGTTTTGAAGCCATGGTCCCGGGTTACGGATTTTGGCGTCTGGTCTTCTTCGAAATATAGATTTTCCAGCTCTTCACCAGGCGGGAGCAATTAATTGCTGCTTCGAGAGCTGGGCAATGATGGGGGAGGCGGTGAAAAGGTTGCTCGGAACTCCAGCAGGCTAGATTGGCGGATCAAGGCGGCAGTAGCAGTGCATGCGGGATCAGCCGAAACATCCTGCAGTCATGTTCAGTCGAGACTACACACTCATTGCGCGGCTCTTGACGTCGTTGGGCGGCGGAGGGTTGAAAGGGGAAACTGGCGCCGGCGGGCGAGTTGTTCCGGAAAGCGAGTGCACGTGATCGCACAACTGCGGACGCCCGCGAACTTCAATTTTGGCCGACCCACTGCTCTTGCCGACGACAACGACGACCACCACCCAACCTCCACCACCCATCCGCGATACACCACAGAAGTCGGTGCGTACACCCTCTGCAGCACCCATTGCACGCCAGCGACACAATTCTTACTGTCGCACGCCGGTCTCGTCTCCCGGAGGAAGCTCTTTTGTACTGACATTTCGGCCGTGTAGCAACCATGGGCAAGGGCAAGCCGAGAGGACTCAACGCCGCGCGCAAGCTGCGCAACCACCGTCGTGAGGGTCGTTGGGCCGATCTTCACTACAAGAAGCGCCTTCTCGGTACCGCCTACAAGTCGTCGCCGTTCGGTGGCTCCTCTCACGCCAAGGGCATCGTTCTTGAGAAGGTCGGTGTTGAGGCCAAGCAGCCCAACTCCGCCATTCGCAAGTGCGTTCGTGTCCAGCTCATCAAGAACGGCAAGAAGGTCACCGCTTTCGGTACGTCACAGCCAATCCACAGGACCTTTGAGATGGGATGCGATGGGGATAGCAGCTTCTTGGGAGCTAGGTGGCGATGATGATTTGAATGTGGGCTGACATTTTTTCCTCACAACAGTCCCCAACGACGGTTGCTTGAACTTCGTCGACGAGAACGACGAGGTCCTCCTTGCTGGTTTCGGTCGTAAGGGCAAGGCCAAGGGTGATATTCCCGGTGTCCGTTTCAAGGTCGTCAAGGTTTCCGGTGTCGGTCTTTCCGCTCTGTGGAAGGAGAAGAAGGAGAAGCCCAGGTCATAAGCGTGTGCGCCACCACCGCCATCAAAATCGAAGGGACGGACTGTTTGTGTACTGCAGATCTGGGTGGGGCGGGGAGAAGCATTCGACGAAAGACAACCGGCGTGGATTTATTCGGATGGGTTTCTTTGCTTCTCACGGCGTGAGCTTGGAATGAACGGTTAGGCAGAAATTCCAACCGTCTTGCAAGCATGAAAAGCTGCGTCCAAAAAACGAAATCAAGAGATATCAATGACCTGCGTTTTCTCTTTCCGTTCTGTTGTCCCCCAAAGCCCTTTGGACATCCTCCATGGCATCTGATATCTGATGCTGCCGACCGTTACGAGGTACTTCAGCTCGGCACTTCCCAATGCCTTACTACGAACGATTTCACTCATTGTCGTGTTGCCACCGGAGAAGGGTCATACCATTGGCAAGCTCCAGAACCGGAAATAGTACTTTTCCGTGCTGTAGTAGTGAAATCATTTTGAATTAATTGATTTCGTGCAACAAAGTTTAGCCCCGCACTGCTGCCACTAAAATGTCAACATAATTGAGCAGTATCACCTGCGCTTCACACTGCCTTCGTTGCCGTGGAACAGCTGTGTGGTATGGGAACCCTTGCGCGGATCAGCTCAATGCACATGATATATTATTCCCGCAACAGGGATATTTCAGCATGCACTGACACCGCAATAAATTCAACAGACGGTCCTTTAAGATTTGTTATACATCGAATCTGTTGACGTATGTTACAGACTCTCCAATCCCTAAGATGAGACTCTAAAAGTAGACATTTCCCCCCACATGACTAAACTTGACTTATCCTCATGCATGGACCGTTGCGGCCGTCTTGGATGTCTTCTTGGCTGCCTGTATCGCTGCCTTGTGCGCGGCAACCATCTCGCCAATCCTGACCAATGCCTCCTCGGGCAGCGGTTGCCGGCCCTTGGCCCTATTCTCTCGCCTCTGTCTCGCATGCATCTCCTTGAGCGGAGTGATCATCTTCTTCGACAACAGGTCCTTCTGCTTCTCCGCCTCGTCCTCGGCCAGCTTCTTCTTGACCCACTCGGGGTCGTGTCTGTCACGGAAGTAGCTGTACTTGTTACGTAGCTCGTCTATGACGGACGGGGGCATAGGCGGGCGCAGCAACGTGGGGACAAAGGTCTGCTCCTCGCTCAAGATACGGAGCGTGTCCGCAGGCTGGTCTGAGGGGGGAGGAGTTTCGTACTTGGGGAAGGGAATAGTAATGTCGGTGCCAGGAACGAAGCGGGTGTAGATGATGTTGCCATCCTTGTCGGTGTTCGTCCTCTTCCGCACAACCTCACTGATGATGACGTCCCGTTTCTTGCCCGTCTTTTTGTCAGGAAGAGCCCACACTAAGCGCACGTCGTCGAATGCGAGCTTGAGCTCGATGGTGCGAATGGGTGCCTTGTCGCCTTCGTTCTGGCGCATGTACTCGGGAATGTAGACGTCGGCCTGTGCAAGAAGCCATTAACCCTTGGGCCAGCATAGTACGTATGTGAAGCTCAGCAACATACCAGGTTCAAGTCCTTGATGCGCACCGTCCGACTGTCCTCGTCGACCTCATTGACTTCACCAATCTTGCCCTTGTCTCGACCCTTGAGGATGACGACACGGTCGCCTTCGGCGAAGGGCGAGAGCTGGTCCTTGAGGTACGGGTCGGCGTCGGGCAGCTGGGCCCGCCTGGTGTCGACGGTGGCAAACTTCTCCCTCCACTCGCCGACATCTCTGCGCGGGGCCAGAGGACCCCGGAGCCAATCCTCGCGGCGGCGCAGTTTGGCGTCGGCAATGGCCCTGTTCGTCGCGGTCTTGATCTGCTGGAGCTCTTTCCGGTTCGACCGCCTGTCGAAGGCCTTTTCCATCTCCGTCGCCTTCTGCGACTTGCGGGCGGCTTGGCGCTTGGCCATTGCCGTCCGCTGGATGGCCTTCTGCATGTTCGCGGCGGTGCAGGAGGCAGAGGCAGTGTTGTGCGGGCGGCGGTGGTGCGGAGGTGCAGTGGTGAAGGCCGGGGGCTCGGAATGGAGCTCAATGAAGGGCGCGATCAATTGTGCCACTGGCAGGCGCGTGGCTAGGCGGACGGCGCGGGGGCTCTGTGGCTCGACACGCGGCGGTTGTCGTTGCAACGGGCGTTGGCAGCCGGACCTCGAATTTCTCGCGGGCGAAGTCGCGCGGCCGGCGCTGCTCGTCACTTCACCTCCGAGCTCGAGCTCCCGCCAACCACCAGCATCATGCCCATGCTACTCCGCCGCAACCTGACCTGCTTCTATTGCGGCGCAAAGTCGGAGCTGAAGCGAAGTCCTCAGATCCGCCAGTTCGACTGCAAGGAGTGCGAGGCCACAAACTTCCTGGACGAGGTCAGCCCCGCCGCTCTCCCGCGCATCCACCTGCAAACGAAACAACTAACACACTGCTTCAGAACGGCGAAATCACAGACCCGCCCGTCGCCGAGTCCGCACAGCCGGCAAGATTCGCCCACTATGTCCCCGCCCGCTCGCCGTCTCCCAATCTCGCCGCCCCGGACCACAGTCTCTTCTGCGCGACCTGTCTGAAGAACCAGCATCTCCTCACCCAGACGCTAGCCGCCTACCTTCCGCCACCTTCCGATCCTAACTACAAGGCCTTCGAGCGCTCCTATCCCGAGTACCGCCGCAACCTCGAGCGCCGTTACCCCCAGGTCTGCGCCGACTGCGCCCCGCGCGTGCGCGAGCGCATCCAGGCCGCCGGATACGCCGCCAAGACGGATTACCTGAAGCGCCTGCTGAACCGGCCGTATCGGGAGACCGACAGGCGGTTTTGGACGGGCCCCACGTGGCAGAGCATCCTCGTGTACTGGGCCGGCTGGTTCTGGTGGATCAGCATCGGGATCCACTTCTGCTGGAGCCTTCTGGGCGCGTATGCTGTGAGGGGAAGGCTCGGCGCCGGGAGAGACGCGCCGTTTGTGCAGAACATCGCCGTTTGCGCCGAGCAGGCTTGGAAGTATGGCATGGTGCAGTCTGACTGCATGACGGCTTTCCCTGCGGAGATGAGGTTCTCTCTGGTAGCCATGGCTGCGACGTTCTGGTGGAACAACAAGTTGCATGCGAAGGTGAAGGGTTGGACCGGTGGCAAGCTTTTGGGACTGAGGGATCATCTCTTGGTGCAGGTGTTGGTGATGAGTCTGAGAACGGGGAGCTACTGGCTTCTGCGTGATCCAGCATCTAGTCGTCTTAATATGCCGGCTTACAGGGGCGCTCACGTCTTTCTGGCCTGCGTCCTCTTTGCTGTAAGTTCCTTGACACCATCATGCGACGGCTAATGTTGATTCCAAGCTAGTCGACTATATACTCTTCGATCGTCGTGAAGGTGGACCGAGCGCCGCTGTTTCCGAAGAAGAAAGAAGAGGAAATCCCTTTGGTGGAGGAGCCGCTGGACGAGAGCCCACAGAAACCCAATCCTCTCTATAACTCTGCTCAGAGGCAGACTTTCCAGAACCAATCGCCGGCATACGTCAAGCCGTTTCCGATCAACAATCTCGCACAACCCCTCAGGATGCCAGAACAGCCTCCTTCTCCCACTCCTTCTACTTCGACGCGCTACACAGCTTTCACGACTGAAGCCACGACACGGCCTTATGACGATGACGAAGATACGATGGAATGGACACCTACACGGCCATCCCAAACAACCTACTACGACCTCCGCCCCCGAAACAACCCCATCGCACAGCGTCAATCGCAACAACTTCAACGGCTCGTCAACGCTTCCAAGAACGAGCCCTCTCCCTTCCGCGGCACTCTCCCTCCCGCACCCATCGCTCCCGCCCACAAGCTACGCAACCCACCAAACCAGCCGACATTCAAGAAGACCCCCCTCACCAAGCAGAAGGACTTCTTCTCCAAGATCATGGGCTCCACCGCCAACGCCGCCACCCGCAACGCCGCCAGCCCCATCAAAGGCGGCGGACGGCGAGGCAGCCAATTCTACGACGACGACGCCGCCACCACCTCCATGGCCGAGACCGACATCGTCGACCCGCGCTTCGCCAACATGACGCCGCACCAGCTGCAGCGCCACCGCATCGACATGACGTTCGGCGAGCCCAAGCTCAACCTGCCGCCGCCCAATGCCGTCGACACGGGCTTGGAAGCCATGTTCGACAGCGTCTTCAGCATCCGCGACGAGCCGGAGGAGGTGCAGCGCCAGCGCGCCGAGGAGCGCGAGCAGCGCAAGGCTGGCGGTATGGTGGTTGAGGTGTGGGATAGCCCCACGCCGCCGTGGGTCATGGGGTGTTTGTCGATTGCCTTTGCGGCGCCGTTTGCGTGGGTGGGGGTGCGGTGGGCGTTGGGGTGGGTGAAGGGGTTGGCGTTTGGTGGTGGGGAGGGAGTCGTGGATGCTTGAGGGAAAAGGAATTCAAGGAAGGGTGAGAGAAAGAGATGGTGTGACGTGTACGGGGTTTCTGCATAGTTTTTTTTATGTTCTTTTTCCCCTTGGTGTATCAACAAAATTGGGCTTCGGCTTGGGGTTTTGGGAACGGGGGAAACCGGCGCTGCTATGGATCCTTTTTTTTTTTTCTCACTTTAGGCTCTGTTCCCAACATTCAGATGGACAGGATGGTAGTTAATGATGTGTCTTTTTTCTTCGTCCCCTCTCTCTTTACTCACCCTAATCTCCTTTACTTTCTTGTTTGATAGAATACCCTCAGCGTCTCTTGATTAGCACAGTTCACTTATTCTGTCAATGGATAGTTAGCACACAGTGTCCAATGACAGTCCCTACGCTCATGCAGCATGGCCCCCATTGGTAAATGCATAAGAAAGTCGGCGAAGGCTGTGTGGGACAGTAGCAGTGCGGCGAGCTTATAGCTACAATATGGACTACCAGGCGCTCGTGGTTCTGCAGTAAAGCACCAACTTCCATTCGTTGGTGCAGACGGATGCGTCTTATAGCCAACGCCCGGCTCCAGGGTGGGGATTGAAGTGGTCTCTCAAATAGCTTCCGTGGTGCCCCATGGGAGCTAAATGAGGAGATACTCGTCTGGATGAAAGCTTCAACCGCTTGCGTAAGCTCCACCTGGGTATATACATACGTAGGTCCTTCTCTTCTCCCTTCGAGGTCCAAACAGCCACCCTAATCATCGTCACTTCTTCGATTTCAGCAAAAAAAAAAAAGAGAAAAGGACAAACGCCCCCTCGACTTCGCTCCTTTCTTTTTTTTTTCTCCCCCCACAAAACAAACAATCAGAAAACCTAAACCAACACCCCCAAAAACTCCCCCTTGCCCCCCGTCCTCCCGACCAGCCCTTCCCACTGCACGACGAACCTGTCCACCACGGGCAGCAGCAGCCGGCCGCTCAGGCTCAGCCGCGTCACGCGCGCCCAGCTCTCGACGTAGACGGTCCGGATCCGGCTCGTGCCGCGCGCGTCGTTGAGGTCGAAGAAGCGCAGGAGCACCGCGGCGAGGATGACGACGACGGCGGTGCCCGGCCCGTTGGCGAGGATGAGGTCGGGCGGCGGGGATCTGGCGCCGCTGCTGCTGTTGCTGCTCTCGTGGAGGATGGAGAGGCAGGACGCGAGGCAGCGTAGGGCGGAGAGGGGCGTGGTGAGGAGGGGTTGGTGGATCGCGCGCGCGCGGGGGACCGTGTGCAGCGTGTAGGTGCCTGGAGTGGGTTCGTCCTTTTCAGCATCGCTGTGGCGGGAGGCGTTGGCGTTGTGCTGCTGCTGCTGCTGCTGCTCCTCTGCTGCCGCCGCCGCCATTGCTCCTTCGTTGCCGTTCCGTTCGTCCTTTTTTCCCTCCGCCTCCGCCTCCTCCGCCCCCGCCTCCTCCTCCCCGTCTACCTTGCTCGTCCTCCCCTTCACCCTCCTCCTCCCCACCGCATCAAGCAGCCCCTCCTCAAACTCCCGCGCCCGCTCCGCGCTGAACCCGTCACCCTCGGAGACGACGTACGTCCGCTGCGACCAGCTGCGCAGGAAGGTCCGCGCGTCCAGCTTGCGCAGCATGGCCAGCATCTCGGCCGTGTGCCCGCCGCTGCCGAGCACCACGACGAGCCGCGTGGCTTCTCGTATCGCGTGTCGCCTGCGGTAGCGCTCTTCGTCGCCCTCTCCGTCGCCGTCGCCGTCGTCGTTGTCATCATCCTGCTCGGCGCCTTGGAGGAGGAGCGATTCGGCTGCTGCTGCTGCTGCTGCGGAACCTTCGGTGGTGGTCGTGCTGTTGCTATTACTTCCACCTGGACGTCGGCGGGGGCGCGGCGGGGGCCGCAGGGGTGGGAGGAGGAAGAGTATGCGGAGCGCGATGAAGGGGATTGAGAGGAAGGCGAGGATTATGAGGCCGTTGAAGAGGAGGAGGGTTATTGGTGGCGGCGGGGATGCGCTGGGGACTGCCATGCTGGATGTCTGGTGCGGTGCCGGGAAAGAAGAGGAAGGTGGAGGGTTTGCGAGTGGTTGAGATGGTGCAGGCTTCAATGCATTGTCGGAGAGGAGGAGCGAGCGAGCTGTTTTGAATTGGTGTACATGTGCGTCGTTGTGGAGCTTGGGACGGAGGGAGGGAGCGCGTGGGAAAAGTGTCGGAGTTTGGGCGCACGAGTCATGCAAAGTCCGCCGTTGTCTGATAGGCGGCTCTGGTATGCTCCAAGCTATGTCCTCTTCTCTTTTTCGAATAAGATTAGTACCGGGAATCGACTTGTTCGGCAGCTGCTAGTGATAATTGCTAGCTATGCGCGCGCAGAGTAAGTCCTTGAAGTGTTAGTCCAAATGTGGACGACAGTCCGATTTTGGAGTGAACATGGCTACAACTGATGATTAACCAATGGTTTGCAATCCCATCGATTGATAACAAAGAATTATATTGGGATACTCATGCCATCCTTGAATCGGATTTGACATTTACAAAGCATGGTTCCGTCCTGAGTCGCCAAAACTCTCACCCACAGAAGACGTTGAATATCAACATTGAGACTCTTCAAGGAAGCTATTTTACAGTGTTGTGACAAATTTTTTGAACATATCCGGCCCATCCTGGATGCTTTCTATCACGCCAAAATCTCCTCCTTTTTCTCCTCCACATCATCTCCATACCATCCAAACAGCCGCGCAAAATATTCGCCCAACAGCCCAGCTGAAATGGCACCTCCAGTCATCCAGCACCCATTCCTAAACCACCACCAACAATCCGTCACGCTCTTCAACCTAACCCTCCAAATCATCGTTCCCAGCGTCGTCACCGCGCCTCCCACGCTCCCAACGAAGAAAATAGGCCCGGCGCCAACCGTCGCGCCGGCGGCAGCCAGCAAAGCAACCTGCACGGCAGCCAGACCGGACAGCACGACCTTGGTGTTGTTCTCGTGGGCAAGGGCAATGCTCTTGATGCCGGCCTTGACATCGTCCTTGATGTCCATATGCGCATAGATCATATCGTACAGCACCGTCCACGCCACGCAGCTGGCATACAGACAACCCGCGGCCGTCGCGGCAACGGGGTCGTTCAGCAGATCGACGTGCAGGGCGGGGAACCCCATCATGGCGCCCCACGAGAACGTCAGGCCCAGCACGGCCTGCGGGTAGTAGGTGACGCGCTTGGCGAGCGGGTAGGTGGCGACGAAGAGCAGGCTGGGCGCGCCGTGCAAGAAGCAGGCCGGCTGCGGGAACTGCAGCAGCACGGCCAGCCCGGTGAGCAGCTGCGCGCCGGTGAAGACTACGGCGGCGCCCGGGCTGACGGCCCCCCGCGCGATGGGGCGCAGCCGCGTGCGCGCGACGTGCGGGTCGAGGTTGCGGTCCCAGAGGTCGTTGATGGTGCAGCCGGCGCCGCGCATGACGAGGGCGCCGGTGAGGAAGAGGAGGGACGTGCCGAGGACGGCGGACGGGGCGGCGACGGGGGCGGCGAGCGGGGCGGCGAGGAGGGTGCTGAAGAGGCAGGGGAAGAAGAGGTAGTAGGTCCCCACTGGTTTGTCGAGACGGACTAGCTCCGCGTAGGGAACGACGGAGGTGGGTAGGTGGGAGAGCAGGCCCGTGGTGGGCGGGTGGTAGGCGGGGAGCTGGGGCGTGGAGGTGCTGTCATCGTCATTGCTTCCGAGGGAGGGTATTGGTGTTGCTGTCCGGGCTTGCTGGGTGAGAGCGCTGGAGGTGTGGAGTATGCGGGTTGGTATTTGAGGTTGGTCATTTGCTCGTCTCAACTGCGGACGCTGAGTATTTGCGGAGAGTAGAGGTTTTGCCAGTGCTGATGGGCGCAAAGGGAGGCTCCTCAAAGCTTTCGGAAATGCACAGCGGCTGCCGCGCTGTAATGCGTGCGGCAACAGCATCGTATGTAATTTTACAGTAGGCGACGCAGCTCCTTCGACTAGGACATGGACCAATCCTTGACTGTCTGATCCTTGCAGTGAGTGGTGGGGTGAACAAGCGGCTATGGGGGCCCTGACCACTCCGTCAACTGCACCAGACCTGGTTGAAACGCTCAATCGCTTGACCGGGCACAGTCTGTTTCCGGTGACGGGAGAGGAAAGAGAGGCAGCTGCAGTCGACTTTATCGCCGTGGTCCGTGCACGAGACCCGCGAACACCAGCAGCTCGACGCCTCCGCCGACCGAGCTTCCGCGCTTCCTCTTCACCCGCCCGCCGCCCACAACACCCCGCGTTTTCTGGCCCTCTCGACGTGACTCACGCGTCCGTCGCTCTCCGGGACGCGCCCAATTATGAGGATACCCCTGCGCTCGAGCAACGCGTCCCGAATCTCCCGTCAATCCCCGCCCACCTCACCCGCCGCCGCATAGCTCCGCAGGAAAAATGCCCGCCCAACGCCCGCGCGCCTCGTTCGAGCCCATCCCTCCGGACTTTGATGTCCAGGCTCTTGTCGAAAACACCGAAAACTTCCAGTATGTCGACCGAATCTCGGTCGACATGATCCAGCAGCATGGCGTGGAACAATTCGAGAAGCTTGTTTTGCTTCACGTCGTGATAGGTGGAAAACCGCTCGTCGTCGATGGCTTCGAAGATCTCTTGGATCCATGGACCTTCACCCCGGAATGGCTTGCTGCGAATTGTGGCGACAAGGGTAGGTTCTGGCAGCCTCCGGTCACATTGCTTGAAGTCCTAGGCTCACTTTACTCCAGTCGAGCATGCGCGCAACCTGACCGCCAAGGAAAACATAGACCTCACCATTGGTCACTACCTCAAGAACATGGGTTTGCTCACCAATCAATACTTCGAGAAGCCTGACAACTACAAGGACAAGAATCGGCAGAGAATCTATCTCAAGGACATTGACTGCCCACAAGTCTGGCACGATAAGCTAAAAGACCAAATCCCGAGCGGTCTCTTCTACTTGAACGAGAGCACTGGCGAGATCGGCGGGCCAGGGTCTGTGGACGAACCCACCCCAAATGCTCCGGGGGGCCGGAAGAAGGGTCGCGGAATTGCCCGCGCGGGCGATCTGATGAGCAGTCTCCCCCCGGAAATGAGAGCGGAAAACATGATGTGCTACATTGGTCATGAGGGAACATACACGCCATCGCACAGAGAAATGTGCGCTTCATTGGGGCAAAATATCATGGTCCACGCATCCGCAACAGTTGGGGAGGATGGAAAACCCGAAAAACCCGGCTCCTCCATCTGGTTCATGACCGAGACAAAGGACCGACACATGGTTTCTGAGTATTGGCTCTCTGTCCTCGGCCACGACATCGAGGTCGAGAATCATTTTGCCCAGGTCGCCGCCTGGAAGAGAGCCCCGTTCCAGAAGTACGTCGTAGAACAGCGCCCAGGCGATTTCATCTTGATTCCCCCCATGGCCCCGCACCAGGTCTGGAATCGCGGCACAAGAACAATAAAAGCTGCTTGGAACAGGACCACGGTGGAAACCTTGGAGATGGCTTTCGAGGAAGCGCTCCCCAATGCTCGAATGGTGTGCAGGGACGAGCAGTATAAAAACAAAGCCATCGTCTACTACACCTTGCTCAAGTACTCAACTCTCCTGAAGCAGGCCAAGATGCAAAGCGAAGCCAGCGCTGAACAGGCAGCTCGCCTCCGATCCAGCTCCAAGGTCCGCCAGGTTCAAAAGGACTTCAAGCGTTTGTTCGAACTCTATAAGAGCATCATCCTCTCCGAAATGTTTTCTTCAGACTTGCCCAAGGAACATCCCGAATTCATGCCCTTCGAGTCTTACGTCACTTGTGCTTACTGCAGGTGCAACATCTTCAATCGGTTTTTGACCTGCAAGGCCTGTGTTTATGCACTGGGCACTGAAGCCGAGGAGCCCTACGATATTTGCATGGACTGCTACGCAATGGGGCGTAGTTGTGCATGCATCTCGGGAATGAGCTGGGTCGAACAGTGGCGATGGAAAGACCTGTTGTACAAGTATGAAGAATGGCGCAAGCAGTTCATCGACATTGACAATGGTCGCCTACACGAGAAGACGCCCATGCCCCTTCAGGAAGAGAAGAGAAGTCTACAGAAAAAGGCTCTCGCCCAGATATGCCAGGAGCAGCTTAAAGCCAGACCTTTCAAAGACTACAAAAACCCCAAGGGAACTGAGGAAGAGGAGAAGTCTGATGAAGAAATAATTGTCAACGACGACGGGACTGTACGCCGGACGGCCAAGAAAAGATCGAAAGCTTGGCTTGCCAGTCATGCGTCTTGCCATACCTGCATTCACAAACATCCCAAGTGGAAGATGGCAAAATGCACAACTTGCGACTTATGGTTTTGTTACGGCTCACTCTTCCGAGCACACGACCTCATGCCACAAACAATCATGGAGAACCCAAGATGGCAATGTCCCCATTGCCGCCGCGTTTGTAATACTGGTGCTTGTCGACGAGACCTCCGTCAACGACCATACGAACCAAAGGGAACTCTATTGGGCCACGACACCAGGAAGGTGGCCGATGCGCGGAGCGTCGAGGCGTTGGTCGACTTCAGCGTGTCGAATCTCAACTGGCTAAGGGATGAAGATGCGGGGCCTGCGGAATCCGCAAGGCTGCGGAGGCGTCGCGAGGAAGCAGAAAGGGCAAAGCAAGTCAATCCTGCCGAGGATGACAGATTCGATGGCGAGGAAGATGGTGGCCGCGACCCCCTAACTCAGATCGAATACTCACCTGCAGGCGAAGAAGAGAGTTTCCTAGATCCCGCGCTCCGTTCCAACGATGTAGCTCTACCTGGCCCGTCGGCAATGCGGGACGGCGCAAGGTCACGCAGCCAAGATGACTCGCTGTTTGTTGCTCGGGATGAGGCGAACGGCAGCGTGACTGCGCCGTACCTCGATGAAATGGACGCGGACGACGGTTCCTTGTACCCTGAATTGGATGGTGGAGAAAGCAGTGTCCAGGTCTTTCGAAGTGCTACGAAGAGGGGCATTGACGACACTGACGACCAGATTAAGCTTGTGGCCAAGAGACAGAAGACGTCAGACAAGTCTAAAATGCAGGCGAAGAGTGATGCCACCCGGCAATTCTTGAAAAAGAAAGAGAAGAACCAACTCGACCAGGCAAGAAAGGATAATAGGTACATCCAAGTGTGGGGCGCTATGAGGGGACGTAGCGTCATCGCAAAGCTTCACCTTCCGAGTGAGAAGCTTGCCGAGTTCAGACGACAAGATCTGGAGAAGCGCAAACGAGCGCAGCTCAGCTTGCACCCCGATGCTCGAGATTCAGCCTTGCGTAACGTGGCCATCATCCAGTCGGATGTCGCCGGGCCTAAAACACCCGCCGCTGCGGACGGTGCCATGAAAAAGTCCAACAAGGCAAGGATAGCGCTTGAGGACGACGACGATTTCGATCTCAAAAAGGGCGAGGGCAAGAGGAGAGGGCACGTTAAGTTAAGATATGAGGAGATTGACGTCGATTCGAGTGGGAGTGAAGGAGCCGATGGGGACGAAGAATACCACGCCCCTCGCCAACGCCGAAGACGCAAGAACAGCGACGATTTGGTAGAGCTGCCGGAAGATTGGAAAGACGGGAAGGTCAAGCCCAAGAAGCGCCAGTCCATGCCGGTCCGCACAAATGGCGCCCAGATACGACCTCTTGGGTCAAGACCAGCCCGTGCGTCGACTGGAGACATCGAGGTCATCTCCGACGACCACGATTCCGATCCTAGTGATGAAGGTCAAGCCCATAAGCAACCCCAACCGATACCGCCGACGAATAACGAGCAAACTACCAACCAAGTCGACAAACAGGCCGAAGAACAGATGGAACACGAGAACGCCGAAGCAGAGGCCCGCCGCGCTCTAGAGGAAGAGGACAATCGTCTGGCCAAACTTCAAGCTGCACGCTGGGCACGAGGCGAAGGTAAAGATCAAGACGACGAAGACGTGGAGAACAAAAATCTCGGCCAGCAATTCGACGGCGCCAGCGATCCTGTGTCCCCCTCCTCCACCCCATCCGCTTCACCTCCTCCTCCTCGACGCGTGCCCACTGCGCCGATGCAGACCAACCCCAATCCCCCGGTCAGCAACGCTCCATCTCCCGCTCCGCCACCACCGAGCATCGACAGGCCCAGCATAATGACCCGCTTCGGTCCCGGTCGCGGCCGCGGAAAGAAGATCAAGATAGTGTCCGCTGCCAGCAAGCGCCAGCCCCCTAGCTCGGCTTCTTCGGCGCCGCCACCAGCCGGGCCCGGCGCCGATTCTTCTGAACCCGCGTCGACCACGACCACGACGACAGCGACAAAGACGACTACCTCCACGCCCGCGCCAGGAACCCCGGCTGTGGTGACGTCTGGCTTCACGCCCGTGAACTTGAAGCGCAGGCACGCGGCCGTGGAGCTGCAACTCAGTGACACGGATGAGAGCGACGACGACGACGGCGTCATCCCGGCCAGAGCTGCGCAGACGCCGCCGACGAGAGGCGTGGCTGGGAGAGGAAGGGGACGGGGACGGGGAAGAGGAAGGGGGAGGGGGAGGGGGAGGGGGAGGGCCGGAAAGGCGGTTTATTGAGCACACACAGGCGTGGGGGGTTTGATGGGTCAGGCCTCGGGTTGATACGACTGGGCTGTGAAGACGGGTAGGGAAGAGGTTGCTACAGATTTCGAGACGCGAGTGGATCAATCGGGTGGAGGTTGGTATTCTTTTTTTTATCTTCTATTCACTATATTGGAGGCGAAGAGAGCGGCGTCTGGGCGAGAGATGGAGCCAACGAGACTTAGCAGCTTGTGGTGATGGCTTTTCAAGCACAATTGTCACTGCATGAAAAGAAAGCAAAATGAGAAAGGGCCTTATCCGATTGAACAGCAATATTAACAGCAACACTGCTCATGATGTGACGCGCGTTGCCAATCACTCAATGGATACAGCTAATCCGACTTCTCTCGTCTTGCTTGTTTACTGATCTTTACAAACACCTCCAGCGATCGTTGACCTCCACCTAAGGATTTCACCCGGCCAAAGAGTAGCGGTGTGAGCCTATGGTGCGGGGAGCCTGTGCCCCCGACCACTTTGCCCGTAAGATGTGGAAGGGGGAAGATCCCTCAAAAGAGGGGTTCTGTAGAGTCCCGTTGGCGTGAATAACGCCTGTTCTCGATTCTTTGTCCTTTGCTCCTTTCTTTTTGCGCGTCGGTGTCGAGTCGGTCTTGTTCTTCTTCTCGCTTTTTGCCCTCGACTCACACCTTGTGGATTCGGAAGTTGGAAAATTCGTTCACAGCAGAGAAGTACAACGCGAGTAGACATGTAGGAGGCTTTCGAATCAATTAATTCTAAATCAGGACACCATTCTCGTCCCGGTTACCAAATAAAAAACTTCCGACCGGTCCGTCAAGGATATCGACAATGTTTCCATGCGCCTTGCGCAGCAGAGGCCTTGTCGTTCGTGAGAGAGGAAAAGAGAAAGAGAGAGGGGGGAGAATAAAACAAGCACCGCTAAATTGCAAGTAGCCAGGCAAATGAGCCCCGTCTTCAGGGTATAGCCTTCCCCCTCCCCCCAGCTTCGAACCTTCAAACCGCTACTTCTTCACTCAAGCAACGTTGTCACATCGAAGCCCAACAGCCATCCATGCTCTCGAGCACGCTTATTGGCCGGGAAGCATGCCTGTGTAGTAGCACAATCATCAGCCTCAGTCAAAACACGATACAACTTGCACGCAAGGAGCGCACTCACCGGCAAACCCGCCAAAGTTATTCATAGCCGCACCCTCAGGGAAGCTGTTGGACCCGCAAAGACACGAGCACGTGCAGGCGGAGCCGTCCGCGCAGGTCCCGTCGCCAGCAGCTACAGTAGCGGCGGCGGCGGCGGCCGTGTCCTGGGCCTGGCCGGCGGCGAGGGTGACGGTGCTGGAGACGGCGGCGGCGGGGGTGGCGGCGATGGCGGCCGTGTCGAGGTCGGTGCCGTTCTTTTGGATGGCGAGCTGCTTGTAGGCCGCGAACGACTTGTCCGAGCTCTCGACCGCGTTGACGCTGAAGACCATGCCCTTGCCGCAGTGCGTGCCGGTTTTTTGCTTGCAGTAGGCCCCTGGGGTTTTTGTCGTTAGCCTCTCGTTTTTTCTTTTCTTTTTGTTCGGTCTAACTTACAGATGGGCTTGGTGTCGTTGACCATCATGCTCCACGTCACGCCCTCGGCGCCGTCCGGGTTGGGCATGAAGCCCGAGTCGAAGCCGCCCTCCATGGCCTTGCACGGCTCGTCGAAGGAGCTCTGCGTCACGGTGTGGTTCTTCTGCATGAAGTGGAACTCGACCATGTCGCCCGCGGCGGCCATGATGTTCTCGGGCGAGTACTGCAGCATCGGCGTCGGCTCGCCCGTGGGGTCCGTCGGCGGCTTGACCCCGCCGACCATGACGGTGTGGGTGGCGGCCAAGGCGGCACCGCTGGCGGAGAGGAGAGGGAGGAACGTCGTGGCCTTCATTATGTTCGGTGGTGCTTCGTGAAGATCTTGTAGAAGAGTCTAAAATAAAAGACCGCGCTGCGGTGGGGGTATCAAATAATGGGAAAATGAGAGAGAGAGAGAGAGGAACTGGGCTTGGAATGAGGCCCAATGAGCGTGTTATTATTACAACGGTGTGGTCGAAAGAGTGCGTACTTCGCTGGGGGTTGGACGAGCAGACAGTCTTTAATAAGGGTGGAGCTCAGATTGCAGCGGCTGGTGGCGGAGGCTGCGCGTGTCGCAAGACCATCCAGGCGAGACGCCACAGCCTCTCGGCATGGCATAGAACCGCAGAAAGTGGTCTGTCTTTGCCTGGATCTGCGTGCTGTTGACGCCGCGGGGCGAAGGCTCTGTACGAGGCTTGACATGTCGTGTGTTGGTGCTGTCTCGGATGGCGTCGCAGCTCTGTGTCAGCCTCCGCTCCCCGCGACCATCTCCGCAACGCCCAACACGAACCGAGGGTCAAGCTTCTCCAAGCTTTTGTCGATCACCCTTACACATTTGACAAGACGGATAACCGGCGAGCTCATTTGCCTGCTTGGAGTGATAGGAACTTTGCACCGCCACCTTTGTCTCCAACCGAGGCCTTTGCCTCCTAATTACCATCATCCGCACCTTTACGTCTCTTGTCTTCCGTGCATGTGTTTCTTTCAATCCTTTTATTATTTATTTGTCTGCATGTGAGAGTCGTTGAGTCATGGCTAGAATCACAGACCTTTTGTCGATCCTATCCTTTTTTT